ACTGCTGAGCTAGAAATAACCTCATAGTGACCTGGACACAACCTTCCTGTTATCTGGACTCAACCCACACTTAACCTTCGGCTTCATTTTCCCTCAGCCTATCTTCCCATGATCCCTGAAAACTGAATCTTGATCTAAAACCAGATCCCTTTGGTTCCAGTTCTGGATGTGGTTCTGAGTCTCAGCTTATCCTAGTAGGCATTTCCCCACATGAGAGTCAGATCCTGCTCCACAACCTGCTGAGTTTCTACATTTGATCACCTGAGTCCTGAAAACCAAGATTCTGGACCTGTCTCTACTTTATGCTGCATGGCCTTACCTCCCATCCGATGAAGCCTGCGATCACAACCTGTCTGTGGTGGTTTGAATTGGAAAGGCCCCCTAAGACTCATGTGTTTGAATACTCGGTCCATGGGGAGTAACACTATTAGGAGGTGTGGCCTTGTTGGAGTAGGTGTGGCTTTGCTGAAAGAAGTATATCTCTAGGGGGTGGGCTTTTAGGTGTCAGAAGCACAAGCTAGTTCATTTCTTGCTGCCTGTGGATCAAGATGTAGAACCCTCAGCTTCTTCTCCAGTACCATGTCTGCCTGGACACTGTCATGCTTCCCACAAAAATGGTAATGGACTAAATCTCTGAACTGAAAGCCAATCCCAATTAAATGTTTTCCTTTTTAAGAGTAGCCATGGCCGGGCGGTGGTAGCATACACCTTTAATCCAAGCACTTGGGAGGCAGAGGCAGGCAGAGCTCTCTGAGTTCAAGACCTGCCTGGTCTGCAAGAGCTAGTTCCAGGACAGGCTCCAAAGCCACAGAGAAACCCTGTCTCGAAAAACAAAACAAAACAAAAGAGTTGCCATGGCCATGGTGTCTCTTCACAGCAATAACTAAGACATTGTCCTAACCTTCACCTTGTCTTAATAGCACCTGTCAAGACCAAGTAATTCCTGAGACCATCCATGTTGCCAGGGGACATGTATCTAAGCTTGCTAAGTTAATAATCACAGTGTTTTCAAGGTGAGCAATCCAAGGGCGAGAGAGTAAACATGACTTTTCAGAAGTCAAACATCAAGCCTGTAATCATATCTGTACACGGAGCCCAGAGTTCTTGACTCCCGGATGGAATGAGCAGGTGGAACATTAGAGAAGAAAGGTAGGAAATGACTCTAAAACTTAAGTTCAACAACTATTCCTAAGACCCACAGAGTGGAGAAAGAGAGACAGCCCAGGACTTGAACGCAAAGACAAGTCTTACTTTTCAAGACCCAAGTATAAAATCAGGAAAATCAAATCGTAGGAGTGATCTTAGATGGAGCCCTAGATCATTGGACTTTGTTTAGTTGTATCACCAGACTGCCCCAGATACCTGGTGTAGGGACTGGCCAATAGGTGCAGGTCAGGGGTGGGTCCTGGGGGAATCACACTTATAGCCCAGGAGAAGAGAATAGATGTGAATGTGAGGAAAGATACAAGGACTGGAAACTGGACTGACCTCACTCACATCCAATGCCCAGAGAACCTATATATCACTCAGGGCCCCCTATATCACAGGAGCTACATAACCATTGCTCAAAATATATATCCTCACAGTCCACAGAAGTCTAATGCTTCCTGCAATGTTTCTATAAGATCCATGACACATATCTTCTCTTTAGCTGGTTTCCCAGGGTTAATGGTTCTTTAGTACCATGTTGCTTGGCACTGTATCAACCCAAGCACAAAATTTTGCCCTGTAATAAAAAAAATAGAATGCCATATATAGGGTTAATAAACTTTTCTGAAAATGGTGGGCAAAGAGTGGCCTCTCTCATTAGACAATTCTACTACTATGTGTTCCTCTTCTCTTCAGTCCTTGTGAACAAACCCAAAGACAGTTTTCCCTATTAGCTTCAACTCTTGATCTACCAACATGGCAACTATGGTACATGTATCTTCCTCCTCCACTTCCCTCCTTCCCTCTCTCTTCTGTTATTTTCTCTCTTGTTGATCTCTCCAGTATCAGACATGCAATTAGAATGTCCTACCTTATTCAAGAGTGTGCCCCTGGCCATGACAGTTCAGTTGAATCCCAAAACCAGACTAGGAAAACTTGATCTGCCCTGTGCCTTCGAAGGCATTTTATAGACTACTAGTAGAGGAAAGAGGCTCAAAATGAAATACTGCTTTTATTTGATGAGCCAAAGTCATGTGTACGACAACCAGAGAATCTCAATGTTTTCAGATCTGTGTAAACTCTCAAAGTATTCTCAGGCTGCCAACTCTGGGCAAAATGTAACTTCAACCCAACTGCAAACATCACTCAGTGAGCATTTCATGCAATCAAACTAGGTAACCAGGTAAGCAATGAAACTTCAAGACACATGGATTGTTTCCTTTACTAGATAGTGGCATAAAACAACATGAGTTTCTTGTTTTTCAAGAGTTACATGGGTCAGGAATTACAAAGGGAATGATAAGGGAATGATAAGGACAGTTGTTATTTGCTCCACAGTGTCTAGAGCCTCAAAGGCTGGGGAATGATTACCAAATGACTGGCTGGATTCAGGAATTAGCTGAGTATTCTTTTACTCATCTGTCTAGTATTTGTGCCCCTCCCCCTCTGGCTTTCTCACAACCGAGTGGTTAGGTTCTGTGGTGAGAAGCCTCTAAGAAAATCCCCCGAGATTCCTACCTGCTGGAACTTATAGCCTGTGCACCCTCATCCCCTTGACTAACTTGCAGCTAACTAACTAGAACATGTCAACACCAAGAGAACAGTTTTCTCATCATTAAATTGCAAAGGCATGTGGTGTATTATCTCTCCATTCCTCTTGTTAGCTTTAATGAAGCAAGCTGTCCTGTTGAAGAGGCTCCAAAAACCAGCAGAAACTGAGGTCTTCTGTTTAACAAACCTTAAAGAATTGAATTCTTCCCTCAAACCATGGAAGCAGCCTTGGAAATAGACTATTCTCTATTTGTACTTTCATATGAGAGCCCCAACCCCAGTCCTTTCCAGAAACCTCAATCACACTCTTGTGACATGTCCTAAATCATGGATCCAGCTGGCCATGGCTGAATTCTTAACTCATACAAATTGTGAAATGAATAATAAATGTGTGTTATCTTAAGTTGATGTCTTGGAATCCACTTTTTTTATGGAACAACAGATATCTAATACAGGCTCCAAGAATGAGTGTTCCATAAAAACTATGCAGAAGGTCTGGGAAGATGGCTCAATTAGTAGTATTTACTGTGCAAGCATGAACATCTGAGTTTAATCCCAGTACCCATATATATTAAATTTAAAAAGCCAGTCATGGTGATGTACTTGTAACCTCATCACAGGGAGACAGAGACAGAAGGATCCCTGGGGCTCACTTGCCCACTGACAAGCTAGCCCCAGATACCAGTGAGAGACCCTGTTTCAAAACACAAGGTGGACAGTGCCTGGGGAATGCCCGAGGTGGACCTCTGATTCCAGGTGCACACATATGTGTGTGCGTGCATACTGCCTGAGGTGGACCTCTGATCTCCAGGTGCACACATAAGTGTGTGTATGAATACTGCCTGAAGTTGACCTCTGATCTCTAAGTGCACACATATGTGTGTGAATGCATACTCACAAACTTGACTAACTCATTAATTTAACTTGGAAAACAGACAGAAACTATATTATCATATCATCATTTATGACCTAGACTCAGATACCACATACAGAGCTGGATGTGTAAGTCAGTGGTAGACATTTGGGAGGCGTACCTAAGGTCCTAAATTCAGTCTGCGTGTCAAATGTGCATGTATGTGCGCGTACACACACACACACACACACACACACACACTCAATAAGTTACAAACCTGCTGATTCAAGAAAATGGGTGGTATACCCCATCTTTCAAAGAGAGTATACAATGTCAAAATATCAGGACAAGCAGGAGGTAGGAGAGTTACAGTAATGATCTTGGAAAATACACTCCATCACACAGTTCTGTGGCCTGTCCTCTAGGCTGGGCTGCACTGCTCAACGCACACATTTCAAGAAAGTTGTGTATTCTTTAACTATTTTGAAACTGGGGTTTTGTTTATGTTTCTTCTGATTTGTCTCCCCTACATTAAAAAATGTTACAAAATTTCTCAGCATGTCACAATCTAAATGGGAGTTTCCCCTCCTGCAGTCAGAGAGACCTCAGAGCCACAATTTCCAAGAATGTATCCGTCTAAAGCACAAGGTTCTCCACTTAAGAAAGACTCGGAGTGGCTTCCAGCATTGCTCTGGCTACATGTGCTGAAATATTCCAGCACTGCTCTGGCTACATGTGCTGAAATATTCCAGCACTGCCCCACCCTCCATGCCAGAGGAGAAGAAACACAGCGGTGAGAGGAGAATGGGGGAGACTGGTGGGAACTGAACAAAGCTGACCCCATCAGGGTCTCTAGCACCCCACAAACTCCTAGAACAGCTGAGCCATCAGGCACCTTGGAGAACCATCCACTGGTAACCACAGAGCGAATACTAAGGAGCACCCAGGGGAACAGTGCACCCCTGACAGCAACAGAGTCGATTTCAGGGTTCTGATGCAGCCTAAATGTGCCAGGTGTCACTACTTTGTGAACTCACACACCTGCTGGCTGCGCATCACTGCAACCTGAGCCTTTTGCTACTAGATTTGAAGACATGCAGGTTTTGGCCAAGCTCTTTGCGATATGCCTACAAGTTCCAGACAATTCTGCTCTCTCCACCTCTGCCAGCTCTCTGGCTTCATGTCGCAGATTCTTATGTCTAAACACCTGCTCCTCTCAGAATCCAGCTTGCCTTGACTTCCTTCCCTGCTTCAGCATGAGATACAGACCTTCCCACCTCCCTTTGTGATGACCCACGCTGGGTTTAAACTCAAGGATTCGTTAGTAAACAGCTGGAGAGGGGACAATGACAGCACAGAGAAACTCAAGCAAACAAATTCCGCTGTTCAGATTGCCTGGGTCCTAGAGTGACCCCCCACATTCCTTCCTGCTGTGGCCAGACATGAAGCAAGGGCCAGCCACCTCCCTAAAATGGGAATGTTCTTGATTCCCCCAAATCCTGAATCAGGGAAAGGAGGCAGCGATTTCTCCACACTCCAGCCTAAGGCCCGTGTCCCACATTCTTCTTTCCTTCTTAGGACTGGTCTTGTTCCAGGTGGCCAGAGAACAGAAGCGTCCATTTCATGGAAATGTCCAGCTTCTAACGGATACCAGAGCATGGATGTCCAGACCCAGAGCACAGCAAGACCAGCAACCCCTGATGGAATCAGCTCGGTTTTCCTTATTCTCTTCTAACAGGCGTCTACGATGAGGATTACAGTTTTCCAGCCATGTGTGTTTCCTAGCTCCTGTAACTAAAGTATGATTTACCCATTAGAAAATCTCTAAGAGCTGGGAGGTGATGGCGCACACCTTTAACCCCAGCACTCAGGAGGCAGAGACAGGAGGATCTCTGAGTTCAATGCCAGCCTGGTCTACAAAGTGAGTTCCGGGGCAGTTGGGGCTTTTACACAGAGAAAGCCTGTCACACACCAAAGAAAGAAAGAAAGAAAGAAAGAAAGAAAGAAAGAAAGAAAGAAAGAAGAAAGAAAAATATCTTAGAGTGAGAAGTAACCGATGATTTAAATGCGTACTTGGTAAAATAATTCCTGCCTATAAAGGAATCTGTCCTGGTTGCTTTTTTTGGGGGGGGGGGGGCGGTTGGGGTTTTGGTTTTTGGTTTTTGTTTTTTTTTTTTTGAGACAGGGTTTCTCTGTAGCTTTGGGGGCCTGTCCTGGAACTAGCTCTTGTAGACCAGACTGGCCTCAAACTCATAGAGATCCACCTGCCTCTGCCTCCTGAATGCTGGGATTAAAGGTGTATACTACCACCACCCAATTGGTTACTTTTATTTTTAAAGATGTACTTATTTTATGTTTATGAGTGTTGTATCTACATGCCAGAAGAGGTTATCAGATCCCCTTATAGATGGTTATGACCACCATGTGGCTGCTGGGAATTGAACTCACGACCTCTGGAAGAGCAGCCACTGTTCTTACACTCTGAGCCATCTCTCCAGCCCCCATCCTGGTTACTTTTTGATGTTAATCTGACATAACCCCGAGTCTCCTGGGAAGAGGGAACCTCAGTTGAAGAATTACCTTTATCAAATTGACCCATGGCCATGTCTGTGAGGAATTCTCTTGGCTGATGATTGACGAGGGAGAACCCAGTCCATAGCGGGTGGCACCATCCCTAGGCAGGTAGACATGGAATGTTTAAGAAAGTTAGATAAGCCAGTAAACAGCATTCCTCCATGCTTTCTGCTCCAGGTTCCTGTCTTGAGACCCTGATGCAACAATGGACTAGGGCCTGGAAGTGTAAACTGAAATAAACCTGTCTCTTCCGTAAGTCACTTTTAGTCAGAGTGTAATATCATGGCACAAAATAAAACCAGGACCGAGCCATTTAGAAAAACCAACTCTGCAGTTCATGACAACCCCTAACCCAATTTTGTCAAGTAAAAATTTTAGGTTCTTGGTTCCAACTTATCAGATCTTCCTCATTCCAAATGAAGGTGTTATTTGCTTGCTTGCTTTATTTTTTCTTATGACTGAAGCAGGAGCATAGAGAGCATATTATTTGCCTAGTATGTACAACCTGTGTTCAACCCACAGCAGGAAAAACACTGGATATGGTTAGTTCATACCTGTAATCCCAGCACTTGGGAAGTAGAAGCAGAAAGGTTAAGAGGTCACGGCTTTGCTGCTTGCCTTGTTTTAAAAAATCAAAACAATTAGCTGAGCAGGGTGGCATGTGCCTTTAATGCCAGAACTCAGGAGGCACGGGCAAATGGATCTCTTTGAATTCAAGGCCATCCTGGTCTACACAGCACGTCCCAAGCCAGCCAGGGATACATAGTTAGTCCGTGCCTTAAAAAGAAAGAAAAGAAGCTTTTACTCTAATTTGCATAAAGTGCTGTATTTACTCCTCTCTCTTCTCCTTATGCCTGATCTTCCTTGTTCTTTTTTCTTTCTTTGTGTTACACTGTATCCTTGTGTACATTTGTGCAGGGAATGTACATAGTTATGAAAGGGAACATAAAGTTAATTGTTTTTCTAGTTCTAATTCTGTCATGAACTTTTTTGGTCTGGATGGTGTATACATGCATAAAATATATTTCATACCAAAAGTGTAAAGTGGAATATGAAGCTTCACAGTTTCCATTTTTAATGCCAATTCTTTGTATAGGTTCATTAAGCTGTATAGATTTGGATATGATTAATTTTGATATGAAATGCTTTTATTTATTTGTGATTTCTAATAATAAAGTATTATTAAAATTTTAAAATATAATTTGTGTAAGATCCATGGGAAGAACTTCTTTAGACTCTTCCTCTTTTAGGAGACAAGCTATGTGCAGATTACAAATGGAAGGGGTCTTTCTTTTCACATTCTCCATCAGGCGATCCAAAATCTTATTTCTAATTTATTATATTATTATATTATTTTTAATGAGGGGGGCAAAGTATGTACATGTGCAGTCAGGTAGCTAGGGAGTCCAGAAGGGGGCAGTAAACCGCTTGGAGATGGAGTTAGAGGCAGTCATGGGCCTCCTAATACGGATGTGAGGAACTGAACTCAGGTCCTCCGCAAGAGCACGGAGCCATCTCTCCAGACCCAGATCCAAAAATCTTTAGATCCAATCTTACCCACCGCCACCTTGTTCCATCTACTTTCTGGACAGAGGAAAGAAGGGTTCTGTGAACATCATAGTTTGGATTATACCAACAAAAGGTAGAAAAGCCGAGTTTAGGATCCTAGCTACCCTGGCTGTAACTTGCTGTACTTGGTCTGAAAGGCAACGTTACAGATTACAAAAACACGCGGTGTGCAGACTGGCCAAGCCCCCCGCCAGTTGCTCCCGTTCAGCTGGAAGTTAAACCGGACAAACAATGGAGCAGTTTTCAAAGCGAACTTCCGTTTCCAGGATGAAAAGGAAACGTTGGGACAGAAGCTCTTAGGAGACACCTGTGGCTAGCAGCGGCCTTTGCCAAGGAACGCAAAGAATTCGGGAAACCGGGTCTTCAGAGCCATTACGTTGGTTAGCCCATCTCATAAGCTTCTATAAGTAGGTTCTCTGTATCTAACTCTGTACTGAGAAACAGGCAGATGACAGAGGCTCCTGCCTGCCCAAGCCTCATGGTGTAGCAAAAGGAAGAAAGAAGTAAATTTAGAATTGGTATTCCTCTAATTTAAACAAATTGGACATCCTAATTAAAACAACTATGGCAACTCTGGGAACACATGTGCCTGAGGACAGAGGGAGTCTGAGCAGGCTGTCATTTCCTCATTCTCCCAACTGTACTATGTCTGGAAGATCTAGGACACCTCTGGACCCTCGCTGTAGCTCGCCACCCTCAGAATGGCTCTGCCATTGAAGGTCAGCGCGTGACCACGGCTGTTGTCAACAGGCAGTGACACAAAGCACCTGTCGTCTCTGGCACAGACCAGCTGAGCAAATGCTTAACTCAGAAGCCTGTTATAGTTTTTGAAAAAACAAAACAAAACAAATTACATCAGCACTTACCCAGGAGTCTCCCCAGCAGGCTAAAGAGTGCTGTCTTCAGTGTGAGGGACAGCTGTGTTCCTGCCTCGAAGAATGGGACAGAATTCTGCAGAGAGTGAAGTGGGACAAACGTCTCCACAGCTCAGTGCTTTGCCAGGCTACCCAACAGAGTCCCCAGAAAAGGCTTGGCAGGGAGGCAGACATTCCGAGAGGTCTGGGCATGCGAAGCCCTTTGCTGTGGTGAAGGAAATGAAGAAGTTCAGCCAAGGCCCCGGCCTCCCCAGGAAATAGGGGACATAGATGTTTACTGAGCAGCTTCCATAGGTTGGGTACCTTGGCCAAAGATCTCACTCACCTTCCTACTTAGAAACCACCTGTGATGATTAATGCTGGTAGCCAACTTGACTGAATCTAAGATCACTTTGGAGGCGAGTCTCTGGGTGTGGGTAACCTGCTGTAGCAATGTGTGCCACCATTCCACAGACTAGGGTTCTGGACTGTATAAAAAGAAGAAATGGAGCTGAGAACCAGCATTCAACACTCTATGCTTGCTCACTGTGGGCACGGTGTGACCAGCTCACCTGCCGGCGGCCATGACTTCCTCCATGGTGAACTGAACAGTAAAAGTGTGAGCCTAGAAAGCAGATCCTTCCTTTCCTGGAGTGCAGTTATCCGAGAGTCAGAGCAACAAGACAAGCAACTGGCATGCCTCCTGTGCTCACAGCTGAGCAAAGCCACGTGCAGAGCAAAGTACTGGACGCTTGACCACAGACTCTACAGGAACTAAAACGGGGTGGTTAGGGAAGACCACTAGTGAATCTTAATATTCAAGACATCTTTGAACATCTGGTAAGTTCAGTTAATAGCAACATATTATATTCTTGAAAACTACTAAGAGAATAGTTTTTTAACTCTTCACACAGCACAAAATAAGTATATATAAAGTAATATACACTTTAATCACCTCATTTAGCCAGTCCACAAAGTACACATATTCAAAACACACCATACTGTACATGAAAAAGACAGTCTGCCCTCTATACCCACATATTTCATACCTTCAAAGTCAACTGAATACATATGGGAAATACTGAGGGAAGAAAAAAAGCAGGCATGGTAGCACCTGTCTGTGGCTCCCCCCTAGCATTTGGGGGACCTAGGATATAGAGGGGAGTTGAAAGTAGCCAGGGTTCCACAGTGAGTTCATGTGAGAAGATAGTGGTTTTGGCAAGACCTGTCTTGCCAAGAAAAGGAGAAACAAAAGAAGGAGAAGGGGAGGGAGGGAGGAAGGAGGAGGGATGAATAAAGAAAGTAAGAGAGGAAAGAAGGAGAAAATGTTTTAACTTCCTGCATACTGAATATGTCCAGATAAGATTAACTTGTTTTAATTCCCTAAGCAATAGAGTCTAGACACTAGTCATGTAATCCCTACACCTAAAAATAATCTCAAATTTAAATTCTGTAAAAGGATTGTTTTATACAAATTCTAAGCTGCTTTATATAAAAGATTGGGATATGTTTGAAGATGCCATGATGAAAGCCATGACATTGAATGTTAGCCTAAACAATTTTAATAAATAAATGGGACTGGGGTATCCAGAGAGTTGGATGTTTGGGGGACTCTTGAATTAAACTCCTGTGGATACCAAGAGGAAATTGCAGATTCAAAAATTACTTTACAGTTAATCAATCAAAAAATCTGTTAATACCCTGATCTGTTGTCTTCTTTTTCCCTTCTCTTCTTCTCCAGACTTTCTAACTTCCTGCAGCAGAATCTCCTACCCTACACCCACAGCCTCATTCCCCTCTGCCCCGCCACAGCCTCATTCCCCTCTGCCCCGCCCCGCTCCCTCTCCATGGATGTGGCCCCCCCTACACCCACAGCCTCATTCCCCTCTGCCCCGCCCCGCTCCCTCTCCATGGATGTGGGCCCCCCTACACCCACAGCCTCATTCCCCTCTGCCCCGCCCCGCTTCCTCTCCATGGATGTGGCCCCCCTACACTCACAGCCTCCCCCCCCACCCCTCTCTCTCCGCATGAACATGGCCTCCTTTTTAAATCTATACTTTATTGGTGTTGGAGACTGCTCAGCAGTTCAGAACATGTATTGCTCTTGAAGAGAGCTCGTGTTAGTTCCTAGCATCCATTTTGGGTGGCTTACACACTTCTGTAATCCAGCTCCAGGGGATATGGCTCTCTCCTCTGGACTTCACAGACATCTTCACTCATGCACACAAACCCACAAACATAGACACATAATTTAAAAATAAATGCTTTTATATTACATTTTCAAATTTATTTTGTGTGCATGCCAGGTGGCTATGGAAGGCACACCAGTGCCTCACCTGCTGGAAGGCGAAAGGACGACCTGAGAAAGTAAGTGGTTTCCCTCCTTCAACCGTGAATCATAGGGACTGGACTCAGGTAGTCAGGCATAGAGACAATTGCCTTTACCCTTGCAGCCATCTTGCCAACCAAGTACACAGCCTCCTTCATCTCTTGCCAAACCTCGCAAATAAAAGTCTAATACATAGTCAAAAACGAGAATATTCAATTATTCCTCTAGTAGGACCCTTATTAGACCAGTTTTTAAGCGCATTTTTAAATAATTAATTGTCAAGAAATCAAATTTAGAAGTGGAAGTCAGTAGTGGACACAAGAGACAAAGCCATCTGCTTCAGTGACCTTCCACAAGTCTCTGAATCATTCATCTATTCTTAGATATGAGAAACTGGGCTTAGGGTCAGGGGATCCGACAGAGACAAGGACACCAAACCCAGGGGCAAAATTCAGTACAGGAGAAACAGCTGCCTTGTCTAGCCGGCCTTCAAGGGATCAGCTAACGCCTGGAGTATGAAGTGAGAGGACTACCACACACCTGGAGTGCAAGACTGAGGTCAGAGCAAGGCCAACTGAGGTGAGAAGACGGCTGTGAGTTCGAGGCTCGCCTGGAGCTGCTCAGTGAGTTCCACAAATAGTGAGATTCAGACCCAGAAAGCAAAGAAAAAAAAAAAAGAAGAAACAAGCAATCCATAGAAAGCCTGGCTTAAAATTCCTAATCAACCATTTACATGAACAATTGCTTAATTTTCTCTTAGTCTTCGTTTCTCACCCATAAAATACAAAGTTTCTATCCACAAATAAGCTTAGAGCCTACCCGTCATCAAAGACATAGCTCCTTACAACAGACACAGACCATTATGGAAAAATGCAGCTGATCAAAACGCAGAGTTACGGAGCTGAGCCCCAACTGTTAGATCTACAACCTCCTGCTCCCAAGGCTCGTGGATCACAGCAGAAGAAGGGATGGAGAGATTGTAAGTCAGAAGGAGCAAAGAGTTTCCTAGCAAGGCCAGAGAACTTAGGTCCCATGTCTCCCCAGCATGGCTGCCTGAACAAGACCTGAACAAGAACACCACAGACACGCTAATGTGGGGCTCACCAGGCCCCAGTGCTAGACAGAGAACTGCAGGCAACTAAAGATGCTGAGAGCAGGGGAAACAGTCATCCTCAGGGTAGAGCCTCCAAATTGGTTATCCAATACCAAGCGGTCAGTCTCGAAATACTGACCATATACACACAAGTAACATCATATAAACCAAGAAGGTTGCATTTGTAAATTTAGGAATATATATATACAAATATGTAACACCAATTAAAGACATAGAGTTTGAGAGAGAACAGGAGTAGGTACAAGGGAAGGGTTGGAAAGAGAAAAGGGAACAAGGGAAAAGAGTTATTTTTTATTTCAAAATGATTTTTTGAGTTAAAATTTCCAGGGAATATGATCAAATATATTATATGTAAGTATGAAAATGTCATAATATAATGAAACAAATTATTTTATACAGTTAGTACATACAAATTAAAATATAAAATTAAACTTACTTTACAGACTACAAATATAATACATGCATGCATATGCAACTCATGAAATCCCCGGGAGATAAAGTGCTTGCTGTACAAGCCTGACACGCTGAGGTTGAGCCTCAGAACCCACATACAGATGGAAGGAGTCAATTCCACACACTTGTATTCTAACACACACATGTGCTCATGCGCACACACTGATAACAAAATAATTTCTTTAAAAAAAAAGAAACAAATTGAACGAATCCTGACAAGAAATACAGCCCAACAACTTTTCAGCCCATTACCTATCTGAGAAAGATGGTGGTGTACAGGAAGACACAGAGACAGGAGACGGGAGTGGCAGGGGTGTACAGATAAGCACGGAGACAGGAGATGGGAATGATGGTGGTGTACAGATGGGCACAGAAGCAGAAGATGGAGTGAGGGTGGTGTAGAGATGGGCACGGAGACAGGAGATGGAGTGGTGGTGGTGTACAGATGGGCACAGAAGCAGGAGATGGAGTGAGGGTGGTGTACAGGAGATGCAAAATTGGGCCAGTACCTGAGGACCTGGTTCTGGTGCAGACTTGTCCTTGAATTCTGGGAAACCATTCTGTCAGTGAAATCCTTGCTTGTCTCGAGTTGCTTCGGCTTTGGATTCTATGCTGGCCTGTGTGTATGCACATCAAGTAAACAAATGTAAAGAAATCAATAATTAAACAGATACATAAATAAATATGTGAAGAAATGTTTATTTTAATGATCTCAGTTAAATAAAAATCCAGAAGTGTGTGTGTGTGTGTGTGTGTGTGTGTGTGTGTGTGTGTATTCAAAACATCACACTGTCTGCATACCCACACACTCCATATCCAGAGTCAACTGGCTACAGATAGAAAATACTCAGGAGGAAAGGCCAAACATGGTAGCCCATGTCTATAATCCCAGCACATGGGAGGTTTAGGCAGGGGTAATCTCGAGTTGAAGGCTGCCTGGGCTGTGGCATTTCAATTTCCTAGCTATTGTGAACGAATGTGGCTAGGCAGCCATCTGTGGAGTAGGATGTCCTCTGGGCACATGCCAAGGAATGCTATAACCGACTCATATTGGAGTTTATTTTTAGCTTTTCGAGGGTCTCCACACTATTTGCAGAGTGGCTGGACCAGTTTGCAGTTGCACCTGCAACGAATGAGAGTTCCCTCTTTCCTGCATCCTCTCCAGCATTGCTGTCTGCTGTTTTGTT